TATATATATAAAGCAGATATGTTGGATTTATTTATCCAAGTTATATCAAGTAGTTCTGCACAAATGAATTGAGCAAACGTAAAGAATCTTTCATATTTTCATTTAAAGTAAATTTGGAAGATGATTTACATTTACTCAGCTTAGCTGAGTGGACTCACTTAATATAACATGGTTAAGTAAATCCAACATGTCTGTTTTTAGAGTGTATACACCTTTGTACATGTCTAAAATTTTCATTTTTATTATTTAAATTTTGCATCATAACTTATTTTGACATCTTCAAATTGGCCTCTGTCTCTATAAGAGCATCCTATTATTTTTGATACTCCCAATTCAGGACATCTTCACAGCTATGCTTCAGGGGAAGGGGTAGAGGAGCGGGAGTTCTGTTGCAGACTGAGCTTCAGGGAGAAGCTTTGTACAAACAGGCAAGGTTTTGTACCAGCAAGTGCAGCTTCACGTCTACCACAAGAGATTCAAGGATTTCTCAAACATACATGAATGAATCAAAGAAACACTCTGGTATTTTTATTTTTTTCATGAGGTAAAGACATTATAATATGATATAAAGCTCCAAAAAAATAAACTTTGCATAAAACCCCATCTTAAATGTTGCATTTTAACCAAGTTTTGTGCATTTTAGTATTTTATAATTAACAGGATTATTTGTTTTTTTGTTTGTTTTTTTGCAAAAATTGTGTAAATCAAACAAGTATGATGTTATTGCCTTCCATTTGCGCATTCCATTTGTTGTCATTTCTTTTTCCTTTCATTACAATGTTCTGTATAAAAAAATATTATATCACACATGCACATATACAGGGGTTAGACAATGAAACTGAAACAGCTGTCATTTTAGTGTGGGAGGTTTCACGGCTAAGTTGGACCAGCCTGGTGGTCAGTCTTCATTATTTTCACATTGCACCAGTAAGAGCAGAGTGTGAAGGTTCAATTAGCAGGGTAAGAGCACAGTTTTCCTCCAAATATTGCAATGCACACAACATTATGGGTGACATACCAGAGTTCAAAAGAGGACAAATTGTTGGTGCACGTCTTGCTGGAGCATCTGTGACCAAGACAGCAAGTCTTTGTGATGTATCAAGAACCACTGTATACAGGGTAATGTCAGCATACCACCAACAAGGACTGTTTGGGATTGTTCATCCTCCTTGATTTGGGATTGGGATTGACTGAAGGATTGTTGACTTTAAAGTGAAAAAGAATTGCATTTATATTTTGACAAAATAGTTCATAATGTACATTTGAGCAACAACAGCAAAGATTAATTACACTGGTAGATGCAAAACAATTTTCAAATGTTCTGAGTCACAATAGTCTTAAAATATATTTTTTGTTAAAGAAACACAAGTATTAATTACAAGTTTTTTGCGTATTAAGAATACCACACTGTACTGTTTATAAAACAGAATAGATATAAGAAAAAGTCATACATTCATACAGCCAGAGCAGAATGAGAGGTTGTACATGTATCGTCTATAATCTTCTCTGACAGACTAAAATTTGCAGTGCTGATGTCTTCACCAGGCTTTTGCAGACAGGGCTGAATGGTTTCTTCTGAAGGATCTAATCAAGTTTCCTCCTCCTGTCACTGCAAACAACAGGGGGGTTGGTGAGCATCTGAGTGTAACGGCATCAAAAAGACACATGAGAAGTTAATGTTTAAAATACCCACTCGACATGCTTCATTGCCATCATGGTCCATGGTTTTGAAGGTTTTGCACACAAAAACCTGTTTCTTTGTTGTTTGTCCTTATAGAAAAAACTGCAGAAAACAGTGATTTCTGGTGAGCATTTTTATCCCACTCATGTTTCAGCAATGATGTTTCCACTCATTATTGCAAATCCGACATGTTAGGTCAGTTTAATTTTTATTTTTTTAATATGCATTTTAAACCTTAGTGTGGACTTTAGTGTTTTGCAAATGTATTACAAAAGTTTTGAAAATAAATACTATTGTTTTAAAAACATACCTTCACTGACTTGAGATTTTGAAATCGCCTCAACAAGAACTGTTAACTCACATGATGGCTCTGATGTCACAGGATCCAGTGATGGGCTGAATGTTGTAGCCCAAAATCCTATTCAAGGATGGTTGGCGTTTTGAGTAACTCATACAGCAGCTGGCTGTAAAGACAAAATAAATGAATGAATTAATTAATGAACTAATTAATTAATTCATTAATTAATACGTTTTTTATTACTTATTTTTGCTTTGATAAAATGCACACAATTGTATAATTTGCAGACAGTCAACATCAATCTACAAAAAAGACATGTTAAAAATGTGATAAACTCACCTGACTCTGTGCTGTTGTAAAAGACAGTAAATAAAAGGAAGCAGCTCAGGGCTGCCACCAGACAAACTTTGCTGCTTGCCATTCTCACTCAGCTGTCTTCTCTGAATGAAGCTGAAACAACGCAACCTGTCTGCAGGATTTCAGAGAGTCACTAACGCCTCTCAGGACATCCTCTTTAAGTAAGGTGTATTTGGATTTTCCAAATGGGCGGGATGTAGCAAACCATGTGTTGCTGTTCATTTTAACTAGGAAATAGGGCAAGGTGCACCTGACTGCTGGKATGCGAAGAAGGAAACTGGCTGTAAAAATAAATGTCAAACTAGTCCGAGCTCATAACTTTCATTCTTAAGAGAGCTTTCACACTTGAGCTAATATGCGTGTCAAGTTTAGTTTTGATTAATTTCTTAACTGCACAGCACTTACTTTCTGTAACAGATTTTTCAGTTTAAGGTTCTTTGAAAACTGCATCTGTGATGATAAAAGRCACAGTTTTCAAAGACAGCTGTCTGTCACTTTCAGATTGTATTTTTGTACACACCATTTCTGTAAGTGTGGCTTTGAAGCATGTCCTTTGTTTTGTGATGGTCTGTGCAGACGCATGTTGCTTTAACGTCCACAATAAAACTTCAAGGGGGGTTCAAAAAAGCAGAAGCAAACCACAGCTAATTACATAATTGCTGTAGTCACAACCTGTAAGTACAATTTTAAACATACTCCATTGCTAAGACTATAAGAGTAAAAGTACAATGCACTTTGTAATTTGTGAGGAATTTGTTGTCTATTWTCTCAACCACTTTATGTGTGACATCAGCACAAACCTCCAATAGAATTTGCTGTAAGCCACTCGAACCTTATCATATTTGAGGATCTTAAAATTCTAGTGGTTAGCAGTGGAGATGTGACGTTCGCAAACAATACAAATAATTTAAACAGCATTTTACAACAAATGATAGGAATGCAGTAAAGAGCCATTAGTTATTTAAACTTGGTAACATTTTTTTTGTTTCCTTCATAACCACAGAGACAATGGCTCCACCATTTCTTTTTTCAAGAAAATAAGCAGAGGGGTGGAGCATAGGGGGAAAGAGACAGTGGGTTTCCACATGGTTCCGCCCACATCCTATGTCCTTAAGTGATGGCGTTACTTGTTCAAAATCAAAAAGCTCTYTGAAACAAACAGATCWTCAAGATCCAGATCCTCTCAAAGAGCCGTTCYTCCCATCTGCATTGTTCTGACTTTTGTACCGCTATAAAAAGATATTATTTCAATGTGGACCTGTTGCATCATGAGATWAAATATTAGTCAAATGAAAACTAAATCTCCTGTCCTAAAATAAAACTTTCAAAAATGACCTGAGAAGCCTTTTTTCCTGTCTCAGTGCAGATTATAAGAACTAAGGCAGCATAGGATATTTGAAGCTGACCATGCACTGTTATGCTTTTGATCATTCAGGGTTGACAGAGCATTCAGAATAGAATAGAATAGAATAGAATAGAATAGAATAGAATAGAATAGAATAGAATAGAATA